GAAAGATCATCCACCCAGACCAAGTGGGATTTATCCCTGGTATGCAGGGATGGTTAAATGTGTGCAAGACAATCAACGTGATACACCACATTAACAGACTGCAGAAGAAAAACCATATGATTATCTCAATAGATGCCGAGAAAGCATTTGATAAAATACAACACCCTTTCATGATGAAAACTCTAAGCAAACTGGGTTTGGAAGGAACATTCCTCAATACAATGAAAGCAATCTATGAAAAACCCACAGCCAACATCCTATTGAATGGGGAAAAGTTGGAAGCATTTCCACTGAGATCTGGTACCAGACAGGGATGCCCACTCTCACCACTGCTATTCAATGTAGTTCTGGAGGTTCTAGCCAGAGCTATTAGGCAAGAAAAAGAAATTAAAGGGATACAAATTGGGAAGGAAGAACTCAAACTATCCCTCTTTGTAGATGATATGATTCTTTATTTAGGGGATCCAAAGAACTCTACTAAGAGACTACTGGAACTCATAGAAGAGTTTGGCAAAGTAGCAGGATATAAAATAAATGCACAAAAATCAACAGCCTTTGTATACACAGACAATGCCATGGGTGAGAAAGAACTTCTAAGATCAATCCCATTCACAATAGCTACAAAAACAATCAAATACCTCGGAATAAACTTAACCAAGGACGTTAAAGATCTCTACAATGAAAATTACAAAACCTTAAAGAAAGAAATAGAAGAGGATACCAAGAAATGGAAAAATCTTCCATGCTCATGGATTGGAAGAATCAATATCATCAAAATGTCCATTCTACCAAAAGCAATTTATAGATTTAATGCAATAGCAATCAAGATACCGAAGACCTTCTTCTCAGATCTAGAAAAAATGATGCTGAAATTTATATGGAGACACAGGAGACCTCGAATAGCTAAAGCAATCTTGTACAACAAAAACGAAGCTGGAAGCATCACAATACCAGATTTCAGGACATACTACAGGGCAGTTGTAATCAAAACAGCATGGTACCGGTACAGAAACAGATGGATAGACCAATGGAACAGAATTGAAACACCAGAAATAAATCCAAACATCTACAGCCAACTCATATTTGATCAAGGGTCCAAAAAGAATCCCTGGAGTAAGGACAGTCTATTCAATAAATGGTGCTGGGAAAACTGGATTTCCACGTGCAGAATCATGAAGCAAGACCCCTACCTTTCACCTTACACAAAAATCCACTCAACATGGATTAAAGACTTAAATCTATGACCTGACACCATCAAATTATTAGACAGCATTGGAAAAACCCTGCAAGATATAGGTACCGGCAATGACTTCTTGGAAAACACCCCAGAAGCACAGGCAGTCAAAGCCAAAATCAACTATTGGGATTGCATCAAATTAAGAAGTTTCTGTACTGCAAAAGAAACAGTCAGGAGAGTGAAGAGACAACCGACAGAATGGGAAAAAATATTTGCAAACTATGCAACAGATAAAGGGTTGATAACCAGAATCTACAAGAAATCAAGATACTCCACAACATCAAAACAAACAACCCACTTAACAGATGGGCCAAGGACCTCAATAGACATTTTTCAAAAGAGGAAATCCAAATGGCCAACAGACACATGAAAAAATGTTCAAGATCACTAGCAATCAGGGAAATGCAAATCAAAACCACAATGAGGTTCCACCTCACCCCAGTTAGAATGGCTCACATTCAGAAATCTACCAACAATAGATTCTGGAGAGGATGTGGGGAAAAAGGGACACTAACCCACTGTTGGTGGGAATGCAAACTGGTGAAGCCACTATGGAAGTCAGTCTGGAGATGCCTCAGAAATCTGAAGATAACCCTACCACATGACCCAGCCATCCCACTCCTTGGAATTTACCCAAAGGAAATTAAATTGGCAAACAAACAAGCTGTCTGCACATTAATGTTTATTGCAGCTCAATTCACAATAGCTAAGACCTGGAACCAACCCAAATGCCCATCAACAGTAGACTGGATAAAGAAATTATGGGACATGTACTCTATAGAATACTAGACAGCAGTCAAAAACAATGAAACCCAGTCATTTGCAATAAGATGGAGGAATCTGGAAAACATCATGCTGAGTGAATTAAGCCAGTCCCAAAGGGACAAATACCATCTGTTCTCCCTGATTGGCGACAACTAACTGAGACCAAAGGGGAAACTTGTTGAAGTGAAATGGACACTATGAGAAACAGTGACTTGATCAGTTCTTGTCCTGACGGTTGATGTACATTGTAATACTTTATCCATTTTAGTATTTTTTCTTTGTTTTGTTCTAGTACTATTGATTGAACTCTGTAATTAACACACAATTATTGTTAGGTGTTTAAATTTTAACTGAAAAGTGATCCCTGTTAGGAATGTGGAAAACATTATGTTGAGTGAAATAAGCCAATCCCAAAGGGACAAATACCACTTGTTCTCCCTTATCAGTGACAACTAACTGAGCACCAAAAAGGAAACCTGTTAAAGTGAAATGAACACTATGAGAAACAGTGACTTGATCAGCCCTCACCCTGACTGTTGATGAGCAGCTTAATATGTTATCCCTTTTAGTATTTTTTTGTTTGTTCTACTTAATACTTTTGGTTGAATACTGTAATCAATACACAATTCTTCTTAAGTGCGGAAACTTAACTGAAAAGTGATTGCTGTTAAATATAAGAGTGGGAATAAGAGAGGGAAGAGATGTGCAATTCGGAACATGCTCAAGCTGACTTACCTCAAACAGTAGAGTTAGAATCATACCAGGGGATTCGAATTCAATCCCATCGAGGTGGCATGTACCAATGCCATCCCACTAGTCCCAGTGATCAATTTCTGTTCACAATTGATCGTAATGATAGGACTAAGAACCAAAGGGATTACATAAACAAGAATAGTGTCTGCAAATACTAGCTGATAGAATCAAAAAGGGAAAAAATGATCCAACATGGGAAGTGAGATACACAGCAGACCCATAGAATGGCAAATGTCCTAACAGCACTGTGGCCTCATAATCAGCCCTTAAGGCATGAGGATCCGGCTGAAAAGCCCATGAGAGTATTTCAGGCATGGAAAGCCAAGACACTCTGGGGGAAAAAAAAACCTAAATGAAAGATCTCCACGAGTGAGATCCCAGTGGAAAGAATGGGTCATCAAAGAAGGAGGTACCTTTCTCTGAAGGGAGGAGAGAACTTCCACTTTGACCATGGCCTTGTCTAAAAATGATCATAGTCAGTGAACTCAGGGGGCTTCCATAGCCTTGGTAGCTCATGACAAGAGCCTAGGGTGATTACTGATGCCATAAACAAGAGTGTCAATTTGTTAAGTCAACAACAGGAGTCACTGTGCACTTACTCCTCATGTAGGATCTCTGTCCTTAGTGTGCTGTACATTGAGATTTAATGCTATAACTAGTACTCAAACAGTATTTTTCACTTTATGTTTCTGTGTGGGAGCAAACTGTTGAAACCTTTACTTAATGTATGCTAAACTGATCTTCTGTATATAAAGAGAATCGAAAATGAATCTTGATGTGAATGGAAGGGGAGAGGGAGTGGATAAGGGGAGGGTTGCGGGTTGGAGGGACGTAATGGGGGGTAAGCCATTGTAATCCATATTCTGTACTTTGGAAATTTATATTCATTAAATAAAAGTTAAAAGAAAAAAATATTTGGGATGCAGGCCTTGGCATTCATGCCACTAAACTGATTCCCCCCCAAAAAACTGAAATGTTTTGTTCTTTTTTTATGATGTATTACTCTTATCATGCATCATCTTAAGCTACCAACATGACACAACTTAATTGAGCAGACTTGTACATGTTGCATCTCATCTAGAACCAACAGGATCCAGTGCACAGTGAGTGCAAGTCTGTTAGGGTGTGAGGGATTATTGCTGAATGGTACATTACGGAAAGAATTTGTTGAGAGAGCACTCAGATTCTCTGCCAGGCCTTAGATATGATTTTCAAAACCAATCTTAGCGAGTGCAGCCAACATTCACCCCTCTTGTAGAGACACTTGCCAATAGCTCCATCTTCGAGGAGTAGCACCACAGCCTGGGGATAGTCTATAGAGACCTGGATATTTTCTGTTTTGGTGCTGTCAGAAGACTGAATCTATATCTGTCCCACTCCCTGCAACTGTGGTGGGCTAATTGCTGGAGGTTAGAGTGTTTTCTAGAAAAGTCCTTGCCCCATTTGACTAGAAGGCCCTTTACTGAACTTAATCATGGAGTGGGCAGCAAACCCTGAATACCCACTGCCACTGAGACTGGTAGTTGAGCTGGGTCCTTAGTGCAGGATCATGATTTCTTACCAGAGATCTGAGGCTAATTCCTATTCAGAATGAGGCAGGAGGAACTAGATGGGACTTGCAACCACCAAACATGCTCAGGGATATATGGATGCATTAAGAAGACCGTGTCTGAAAAGGGGGAAGATGGTCTTTTGATGCCCAGAGAGAGGTGATTAAAGATGATCAGCAAGGAAAAATGTATTTGTCTCAGTGGCTATAATAGTTTTTGTTGTTGTTGTTGTTGTTGTTGTTGTTTTTGACAGGCAGAGTTAGACAGTGAGAGAGACAGAGAGAAAGGTCTTCCTTCCGTTGGTTCACCCCCCAAATGGCTGCCAAGGCCGGCGCACTGCGCTGATCCGAAGCCAGGAGCCAGGTGCTTCCTCCCAGTCTCCCATGTGGGTGCATGGCCCAAGCACCTAGGCCATCCTCCACTGCCTTCCCGGGCCACAGCAGAGAGCTGGACTGGAAGAGGGGCAACCAGGACAGAATCCGGCGCCCCAACCGGGACTAGAACCCGGAGTGCCGGAGCCGCAGGCGGAGGATTAGCCTAGTGAACCGAATGCTGGCCGTATAATAGTAAGTTAATCTGTCAAACAGCACTTGAACAACACAAGTAAATGGAAGTGGTTCGCCTAACACCCAAATACCAGTTGTATATTTTCTTCCTATATACAACCTCATGAGAAATAAAGGCAAAGATACATATTTTCTTATTTCTGAACCTTTAAAGTTCTTCTTTACTCTTTATAGTTTGGTCTCTGAATACAAATAACAACAAAAAAGGGTGTTTATCAAAGCCAGTTCCTTCTCTTTCCTCACTACAGTCTTTCATTTTGCTCTTCCCTGACTGACTCAGCGAAGAGTTAACATTGGATTGGTGGTGAAGCTTGTGTGAGACAATGTGGCTTCCCAAAGACAAATACTTCCTGGTAAGTCCGAGGGAGAGAGAGCTCTGGATATCTTGGGCAGATCTTGGAAGAGATAGAGAAGAAAACAAAAGTTGGTAGGTGGTGCTTGTTAAAAAAAAAAAACAAACAAAAAACCAGGACTCATACAATGACGACCAACTTCTTGTGGAACTCCAGGCCTCTAACCACAGTGCTGAATTCCTCAAAGGATATTTTCCCATCGCCATCCTTGTCCAGGATGATGATGGTTTTGTCAACCAGCTCCTGCAACTGCCAGTCCCTGAGGTTGTTACCCACCATCATCTTCAGCACCTGGAAGAGCTCACCGTTGGAAATATAGCCGTCCTTGTCCATGTCGTAGATGCTGAAAGCAAACCTCAGCTTCTGCTCCTCGTTTCCTTTGACGCTGAACTGAGAGGTCCCCAAGATGAATTCCTTGAAGTCCACTTCTCCATTGCCGTCCATGTCGAAGATGTCGATCACTCGCTTCACCAACGGGTTCTGCTGAAGCTCTGGCAGGGACATGAACTCCTCCACGCTCAGAGTGCCCGACTTGTCCAGGTCCAGCTTCCTAAACCTTTTGCCCAGTCTTCTAATTTCATCATGGTCAAAGTGGGAGCACATCTCTGCCGGGTAGCTGGCCTCGTTTCCCATTGTGTTTGTGGACAACGGCTCGCAGGGCTGGAGGACCCAGTGGGATGCGGGCTGAGTTGAGACGGTTGAGCCACGTCGGGGTGGGGGCCGGGATAGGAATGGGAGCTCGTGAGGCACCCCGCGGTGGTTGGAATTCAAGTGGCGACCAGAATGGGAGGGGCGGGGTCAGCGAGGAAGGGGCACAAGGAAGGGAAGATGGAAGGAGGAGGGCAAACCCCTCACAGGTTTCCATTGTAAACCGTATTGCCCTCCCAACTGTTTCATCTTCTCATTTCCTCCCCCATCCCTCGCTTTTCCCCTGGGAAAGTAAATCCCAAGGGGGAAGGAGCTGCTTCTGTATAAGTCACCGCAGTATCGCAGCACAGTACCTGACAGTGTTGTTTCATAAACGCACATTGAGTAACCGAGGCGGAGTGAACTGCAACACTGGCCGCCTGATACTATTTACTTCTTTCCCCTACTTCTCTGGGAAGGGAAGCCAGGATGCGTGTCCCGCTGGAAATGCATAAGGCACCACCCAGATGTCACAGAGAATTCCTTACATGGATCACCTGCAAGCAACCAATATATTCCACTAACGTAATGCTGAATTTAGATCCTTTTCCAAGAAGACACAGGTACCATGAGTAGGCTCTTTTACCCGCTGACTCTGAATCCATCATCTCTTGCCCCACGTGTATCTTTGCTGTTTGGTGCCTGCAGAGCACTTTGGGGAACACAGAAGGCTTTTGCATGGTTGAGAGACAGTGCTTCTATGCGATCTCACTCCTCATCCCACTTTTGCTTCAACTAGATGTGTCCTTTTTGCTAACGATTAACCTTAAAAACTTCTTCATATTTCTTCTTCCCTTAGGGACACATCAATTCTCTAAATGCAGAAGGAATAAATGTAATTCAAAAGCAATCTGGTTCAAAGGGTCTTGGAGGAACCTTAGGATATTAAATCAGATAGAATGGGACAAACACACCCTACCTTTAAAATGGGTGTTGCTGGCATGTTCTGTGTTCTTTAGTTCAGCCAAAAGCTCAACCGAAGATCACCATGCTGAAACTGGCACAGCTGAGCCACTGGATGGATACCTTATCACTTGGGATGGCCATTTTTATTTTCCTCTATAATCAGATGATAATCCACTTTTTAACAAGCTGTTCATGGGTATTAAATAAAACCCGAAGTCTCAGCTAAGCCAGGATATTATACTGGGAACGTTTTGTCTTACTTGTTTGTTTTATTTCCAGTTACTCAGAGAGATAAATGCAGTACAAATCTATTGAATTTGCAGTGTTAAAATGATCACCTTAAATGCTATTATGAGATACCTGAAATCAGGACTAGTGTCTGAATGTTATCAATCATTCTAATCTAGGCCATTTCTAGAGCACATAGCCCTTTCTAGACCCAGGATGGGAGATACAGTTCTGAAAAGTCAGAAGTCTCAGGGGCAAGGAAAGGATTCCATTGCTGGGGCACAGAGGTGGTTTGGAGCTTCTGGAGTTACATTGTTGGCCAAATATTTTGTCTTTGAGCACAGACTAGTCCAGATTCTTGGCTGCAATTAAGAGAACTCATGCCTAAGAAGATTAGCATAAAAAAGAATTTGTTGGAAGAATCTCACATAATTGAAAGGAGAGCTGCACCATTGAGTCTTAGAAAGGGTGAGGATCCTTGGGTTTAAAGAACAATTGAAACCAAGACCTCAGGACCAGTTATATAATTTACAAGACCTGTGCAGAATAAAAATACAGGGCCCTTTGAAAATTATTGAGAATTTTAAGATAGCCATAGCAGAGCATTAAGCCAAGTATGGGACCCTGTGTAAATTCTTGGGCCACATGCCCACAAAACTGGCCTGGCTAGGACTTGAACATTGACCCCTCTGCATCTCTTACCTTTTTTTGTTTGTTTGTTTCACTTTCTCCTTTTCAGAGAACATCGCCACTGGCAGAGTACAAACTGAGATCTTGAGGGTTTTATCATTTTTTTTCCCTCCAAAGGTTGGCTGAAATTTTCCTGTTCTAGTTAGAAGTCCATTAATCCCAGGAACAGTCTCCAACTGCATCTTATTTTGGTCTGTTTTCTACACTGAGACATCAGATATGGTCTGCAACATAAGGAAGGTTCTCCTTGGACCTCACAATTGGAGCTGGCATGGAGAGTTGGCTGGGTAGGAACAGGTACCAAAAGAAACACTTGGTCTTCCTTATAAGAAGGAGTGATGCTGGACAGAACAATAGAAGGGCATTAAACTACCTCCATGAGAGGTAGGGAATATTTAGTCTGAAGACCTCCTCTCAATGTGGCCAACTAAACAGCACACAAAATGTGCTGTAGCCACTATCCCATTCATTTCTCCCAGGTTCATCTTATTTACCAAAATATCCTTTTTGTATACAGCATCAGTATCTCATTTGAAGGTATTATCCCAAGTTTTCTGAAGGTATTACCCCAAATTTGTTCATTGCCATACACTGGTGGATTTTGAAATTAGTTTAGCATAAAAAAATGGAGATAATTAGCTGGAAAATATCAATGATAAGGGGAAGTACTGTTACTGTATGAAATTATGTTAGTTATATTGTTATGCAAGCACATAAAACTAAATAGAGTATATATGATAAAAGAATACCAAGTTCTGGGTTTGCAGTATGACATATTTTCTCATTATGAAATATAGTATTAGGCACAAGTGTAATGTCCAATTTTCTAGCCACATTAATAAGCAAAAAAGATACAATTAATTTTAATAAGTATTATTTTATATATTTAACCCAGCATATTCCAAGTGTTATCGTTTCAACATATAATAAATACCTGAACTTATTTATGAGTTATTTTGCATTTTTGTACTAGGTATATAGTTCATATTTACAGTACATCTAGGTTAGGGCTCATAGAATTTCAGGTGCTCAATAGCCAATGTGTATATTTTACTGTAAAAAAATATCTAGGCAGTTTAAAGGAAAAGAAAGATTTGAATGCTAAAATGTCTGACAGTGGATGAGTTTCCTGACTGGCTGAATTAATTAGATTCAAAATATGCATGATGGAGTGGAAATAATTTAGAATAGGACAATCCAGGATCAGATCTTAAATACAAATTTAGTAGCAGTAAGATCTTGGATTAGTTGCTTGATGTTAGCTTTCCCATCTGGAAGGTGGAGTGAATGATACATATTTGGTACAGTTTTGTAAGGATTAAAGCTAACAGTAGCCAATATGATAAATCGTTATCCTTACTGCTGTTAGTACTAATTTTGCAATTGTTTTCCCTGCTTTCAGAGATGAAGTCCTAAGGCAAGCATGCCTGGCAGCTCAAGTATATGTAGGTCCATGGAACAAATTCACCCTGTGTGCCAGCCACCGTGGGCCACACTGCTGTAAGTACTGCACCAGCACTGAACTCCGAAAACTGTTTTCAGACTTTCTCTCACAGGCTTGAAGAATGCAGTCACGGACATCACTGGCCCATCAGGCACTCTAGGGGTTTCTCACTGGTTTTCTCCCGAGTGACTCCTTGATGGTTGCTATTGAGAAAAGAGTCACCAGTGTGGAAACTCTTAGAGGATTCTTCTATATCAGGGTGATATTAGGAGGCCTCAAGGAATAGCGGAGAGCATGAAGGAATTAAGTAGGCCTGGTTCCAATCCCAGCTCTGCCCTTATTAGCTCTGAGTCCTTAAAGATGGCATGATTTTGCCAGCCTCAGTGTCCTTGTCTATAGACTGGTGGTCCTAATTATACCTGCTTTATCTACTGCACATTGTTACCACGAGCCAGATGAGGTGGTATATACAGAAACATTATGTAAGAGGAGAGATCTTGCACAGGAGCTAATCAATTTAATGGCTGAACATATCATACCGGGAAGATGGTACCTCTTCAATGAAATAATTCAGTGTGCAAGCAGAATTTCCTTACTCCTGTGTTGTAGAGCATGTACCCTTATGCTGAATCTGGTTTTAGCCAATATGAGTTCTCCATCGTTCTATATTTCATAAACTTCATATTTCAGCATTATTGTAGGAATCAACACCATAGTTTCGATTTTCTCTGGCTATTATCCTTGGTCATTTCCATGGAAAACACTGTTTATCACTCTTCCTATTTATCACTGTGGACTGATGTGGAATGTAAGACATTCACACAGTAAGTCAATTAGGAGATCGTTTTGGAAGAAGTAGGAACCTGATGGCACTTTCATTTTAGCAAAAACATTTTTCCCCCCACCAAGAGTTTTCAGGTAAAGAACTCCAGATGGTCATATGCAAAAATAACTGACACTGGAAAACAAAACTGACAGGAATGCAGCTGATAAGACCTGAGGCTCATGTGATTGCATCTTCCAAGTCAGGTAGGAGAAGGAATTTCTGAGCAAGGTCACACGGCTACTTTGGAAGGTTAACAGCTGGGAGCTGTCACCCTTCCATGGGGTTGCCACTCACCATAGTAAACCTGTGTGTTGACTTTAGCCCCATAACCCTGAGTTGAATTGTTTCTGAGCATCAAATTTTTCATCTGCAAAGCGAGAATAATATAATGGTGCAATATAATTGTAGTTATATGTGAGATAACATCTAAAACATAAAAAACTAAAACAATGCCAACTTACAGTAGGCACTCAATATATTTAACACGCTGTCTCCTTTTCTTTTCCCTTTTCAACTTCCATATTTGCTCCCTATGAAGTATAAAGTTGATACTGGATATATGTGTTTTCTCTTCTTCCAACATGACAAATGTTGTTTTGAGTTTACATCCATTTAGAAAATATATATTGAGCACCTTTATGTACCATGCCCCATGCCAGGTGTAGTGTGGTAAGTCACAGTCCCTAGAGGAATACAATTTTGCCATGGAGAAATCTATAGTTCACTAAATAGTAAGGGTTTAAGTATGTAACATTCTTTGGTCAGTCCTTTATGTTCGTCATATATATTCAACAGAATTAAGGATAATATGCTTGGCTTTCTTTTGTAATTCTGAGGTAGTGTTTAATATGAGTTTTGGAATGTGTGGTTTTAAACCAAAGTTTCGCTATTTAGAAGCTCTGTAACCTCAAGCAGAGTTATTAACCTGAGTCACTATTTGCTCATCTGAAAAACAAGGACAATGATT